TCCAGATCGATATACCAGTGGCGTAGGCTCTTATTTAAATAAGAATTAAAGCAGTTTCCCAACAAAAAACATTTATTGGATTAAAAAGTTAAATTTTAATGATTTAAACATTTGTATATTACCTAAATAACTAAACTAAACATTACATATATTTTTCGACTTTAGACTTGCAAAACATTCAGTGGGAAGTAAATAAAAATAGCAACACAATTTTGTAATTTAAGATTTTTATTACAATTAAAATAATAGTTATTTATGCAACTAGTGCAAAAAGTGAAACTAGAGGAGTACATCCTAGTTCGTCCGTTAATGAACTATTATACTCTATTTTTAAACTAAGAGGAGCGATTTGAATTTAAGTTGGCAATTCTGTAGCCTTCTGATTGGTCAGATTACAGTCAGTTTCACACATTACTTTTTAGCATGAACATCGGCTAATAATTGATATTGTTGACAGTTCTGACATTTTATAATTTGACATCTCATCCATTCACTCAAAGTATGTGCATCACATACTTTGATTTTCTTTTACTATACGGAGAATGGTCGCACTGCGCAACTTTCTGAGTGCCTTTTAAAAGGAGATAGAAAACTCCGCCATTTTGAAACCTTATTACGTGTTGCCTACATCTTGGCGCAATATTTTTAATAGGTGCGTTTTAATCATCCGCTTCTGCTTCGGAATTGTCGGTTTTCTTGTTTTAATCTGACAGGTTAAAACGACTAGTAAAGTAAAAGCTTGGCAACGCCGAAGTTTGGCTCACAATAATAAGGGATCCATGTTTACGCGATAGCTTCTGTTCGAATTATATTCTGGACCATGCGGCAGTCATACAGCGTTGCCAAATTATTAAGCAATAGTATCTCTATATTAGAAAAACGAAAAAAATCGCCAAAACGCCACTGACGCTTAAATGGGATGAACCTGAGAGAGAGGCAAATTATTGCGGCCTTTGTCAGGTATGATGTGTGTGGCTTTTTCTTAGTTGAATCGTACTCTAGATAGCTACTTGCGCTGGGACAAAATATTCAATACTTACTCAACAAATTATGTAGTGTCTTATTTAAATTCATACAAGTATCACCAATGCTAGAGTTACCACAGAAGAGCATTTTGTATCGTAGCCTTTTCGAATCTCATCTCAACTATGGAATAACTGATATTTTCAAATCTTTTAAAATAATTAATAATTAATTTTGAAAGGATTGTATTAAATTTAATGCAAATTATTATCATCCATGGATTTCAATAATATGATACACGGCAAGTAACCTGAAGTGAACCATTAGAAAGGAGGCAGAAAATAGACGATGCAGTTCTAGAAATAATAAATAAAAATTTACAGTACCTTACTTTGACAAGCTTATTAGTCATTTAATAGCCGCTTGTTCTGCAATCAAATACGGCTGCTTGTTATATAAGAACTCTTGGATCAGAAAAGGACATAGCAGAATTATTTTTTTTCTGATTTAAACTGGTGGTTAAAATATTTACATTCTAGTTACCAAAATATTAAACAAGGCAATTATATTCCGAGACATATTCAGATGCATCATCAAATGGTTGGGTAACCTTTTGTAATAAGAAGGAAGCTTACGGTTTTTGGGACACGAACAAAGGTAAATAAGAAATGTAACAATTTGTATTTTGGGGCCCAGATCCCGAATCAATTGCTATTAATGCATGTTCGAGGTCTTCTGTTGAGCTTTTAAAATGAAGAATATCCGATAGCCGATAAAAGTTTTTTGTCTCTAAACTTGTGAATCACCACACTCGATAATATAACTACAGGGTTGGCTATAATTTTTTTATTTCTCAGTGCAATTTCACTAAATTTGGTGTCATAAGATACACCTATTGGCAAAAAATCAGTTAAATAAACTTTTCCAGAGGCGTATGGCATGAATAAGTAACACCTTCACCCTGTAGTTTACTTTATTTTATATTTTTTTTTATGTTTGTTGTTCTGTGTCTCTATTATTTCTTTAGTTGGTTCTACTAGGCCTATTGCCTTATAGTTCTCCTGTTCTTTTATACCGATCGAGGTGGCATTGCGATAATGCATCTACCTCGTCTTCGAAAGGTAGTGGGTTTGAACCCTGTCGCCTTACCTGATATGAGTTTTTAACAGCAGTACGAAAATGCTGGGTCAGTAATCCTTCCACCCCTTCCCCTCAGACCCGACCCTTGATCCCTCCAAAGCATCTGAACAGGCTAGAAAATCAGGAAGAATAAAATACACATCCTATACCCCTTGACCCTTCTATTTTACGGAACTCTAACCCGAGAATACCGATCAAGCTCTAACTCACTTCCTTAATGTTTCTATTAGTATACCTTTTTTGAATATTGATTTGACATCCCTGACCTCATTTTTATGTCATCGCTGACCTTTTTGGCTGTTACTTACTGTTCTTAAGTTTTTCCCTCGACCTTCAAGTCATCCATATAAAACTTGGGGGACTGATGGTCTAATTTTACAGGGATAATCTCTAAGCCTCTTATTTGCAATCTTTGTAGCTGACTTAGAGATCTTTTTTTATGAGAACGGTGCTCAATGCGTAAAGGTTGACAAAAATGATGTTTCATCTCTAACATATATGCTGATGATCTTATTCTTTTTGGAACATTCTGAGATTGAGAAGTTAAAGTTAACATTTTTAGAAAAATATACTATTGCTAATAAATTAACTGTCAATAATTTAAATAAAACAATAATTATACAATTTTCTAGGGGGGGTTTCAAGAAACCTAATTTTGATTTTTAATTTAATAACCAAATAATGTAAATATATTTGAGGAGCCTTTACTGGCTCATTTAACTGCCAATAAAGGTAAGAAGGTTATCTCCTTCCGATAATGTTTAAAGCTAACATATTATTGGCACCCTATAATCAAATTATTTGAGCTACTTGCCCCTAGAGTTATGTTAAATTGCATTTCTAGTAGGGGATACTTAGATATATTAGAAATAATTCAGATATATTTCCTGAAAATATTGTCGCGTTTCGTATAAATTCATATTTTTCTAATTTTAATTAATTATTTAAATAACATCCTGTACATAAAACTTTGTTTATTTATGTTGACAATTTGTTTTAAATTGCAATCATGTGCAATGTTGGTAATTTAATAATTATTAAACATTAATTTCATAATAATAAACTATGGAGGGGTTATAAAGATAATGTCGAAGGGACGCGCAGGGCTTTTTCCTCAGGGAAGGATCCTCCCCTTGTAGGAGATTCGCAGTAGCAGCCCCACCTCAGGATCTCTATACTTTAAATTAAAAGTCTTTTATTGTATTTTGAATAATTGCGTTTTGAATAGGTAAGGGTTGCGACATGTGCCCAAGATATTTGTTGAAGTGGTAAGTTAATCTTTTATCGTCTATTTGTTTCAGGGGCTGAAGAGTAGAACCGTTATTAAGGGCTACGAAGCCAAGTTTAAGGAAATACAGAATCCTTAGACGATTGGGGTCCAAATTTATATATTTTGATTGATAACCCCGGGACACAGTTAGTCCCATAATTATTAAAGAGCACGTAAATCATGACATTTTTTATTATAACCACGCTTAACGTGACATGGTGGAGGCGCTTAGCTTCGTTCCCGAGGTTTTCTTCTTCATAAGAACCCTCAAGTACCAATTTTTTCTGAGCATATTTTAAAAGATTCTGATGTGTTCCTGTTTTTAGCGGTATTCTGTGTTTTTAGCACATTTCCCCATTTGTATTTGTTATTAGATTAGAGAATCTATTTTGCTGAAATTTTGTGTCACATTCCTTGTATGGAGTTTAGTGACTGTCTTTTTATACAGGGATTTCATTTCAAAACTAGCCACCCAAAATAACTTTTAAAATATCTTTAAAACAAAAAACACGTTAATTTATATTTACGGGGGGGGGGGGGGGGGGGGCATTTTACAAGTATCTGTAACCGTGCAGTTTCCTCTCCTAAGCGATGGTGAATATCACTTCTAAAATTTAAAATAGAAAGGGGTATCATGTGATAGCTCTTCTTAAAGGTCTCTTTTTTTCCAATCTTTTGACACATTATTTTTTTAAATCGGATTAATTTTCAAAATGCTAATTTTCGTAATTTTTTCGGATTTTCAAAGTTTTTTCGAAAATTTGAAAGTATACGGGTCAAACGGACCCCAGATTCGGACTTAACGGGTCGAAATGCAGATATACCAGTCCTGTCAAAAGTACTGACAACTTTTTTTTTGTGTGCCGGTGTAATTATGGGACTATCTGTGTCCCGAGGGTTATCAAGCAAAATATATAAATTTGGACCTCAATCGTGTAAAGACTCTATGTTGCCTTAAACTTGGCTTCGTAGCCCTTAACTGTATAAGGGTTCTACTCTTGATGTTAGAACCTAACACGTCCCTGAAAAGGAGCTGAAGAAAACAGTGTTTTCAAAATAAATATGATATAATTTAAAACGATTATACAAAATATGTCCTAACTCGACATACACAAATATAGGGCTCAATATATTAACAAATAGACGATAAAAGATTAACTTACCACTTCAACAAATATCTTGGGAACATGTTACAACCCTTAGCTAACTATTCAAAACGCAATTATTCTAAATACAAAAAAAAGACTTTAAATTATAGAGATCCTGAGCTGGAGCTGCTACTGAGAATCTCCTACAAGGGGATCCTACAGGGATCTTTCCCTGTGGAAAAAGCCCTGCGCGTCCCCACGATATTACCTTTATAATCTCTCCATAGTTTTTTATTATTATTATGAAACTAATGATTAATAATTAACAATTTAAAACAAATTGTCAACATAATTAAACAAAGTTTTATGTACAGGATGTTATTTAAATAATTAAAAAAAAAAAAAAAAAATTAAATATGCCCAAAACCAATTTCAATCATTCCTTACCTCTGTCTCTAACATCCTGCTCCTGCAAATCCTGCAACGTATTATCGCCGGCCAACCACTCGGGTTCCTGTTCCTGATTTTGTACGGGGTCTCTAAAAGCGACTTGATCGGTGGGAAAAAATCACTCTCGGCCTTCTAGACGACCAAGCAGTTTGGTACCTAGCCGAGGGATCGAAGTACGATTGATGCCCCTCGTAGAAAGTGTCCCGGAATTTGTTGTACCGTCTCGGTATCCGGAATTGGTCCAGAAAACCCAATCGCGAACTTCTGACACTGTGCAGTTCGTTCACATTTTCGGTAACGCCTTCGTTCGAAGGAAAAATTACGGGTATCTTAAATCCGGCGCGTTCTAGGGATGTTATTGGATGTTCTCTTTCGGATTTTCGTTTGAACGACAGTTGATTTAGTAGTCTGTGAGGTAGAAATCTGGTTGATATAGTTCTACGAAAGTCTGTTGGAAGAATTTCGCCGATATGTTCTTTATGTTTGTTATCAATGATACCCATATCGTCTCTTCGTATTGAATTTTTGAAAAGATCGTGAATGGCTTTCATCAAAGAAGTTTTTTGGCTTCTATTTTCGGTTAAATCTTTATTCTTTGTAACGATTTTATCTGTTGGAGCGACAACCTCGTTTTGCGATGCTTGTTCGGTAACGGTTTCGACGAAATTCTTCGAAATATGGCTGGTATTTTTGGTTGCAACATTGTCTTCTTGATGGATGACGTTTTCGTACAATTTAAGAAGAGGTTTTAAGAATTCCTGTTCCGTTAATTCCGTGTAATCGGTTTTTACGTTGTTATGAAATTCTTGGTTATTATTTGGTGGATTATATAAGTTATTTGTGTTATTGGATGAGTCAGTTATTTGCATAAAATCGTTGGAATAATTGGATACTTCACCTATAGCTTCGTTGTTATTATTTGCTGTGTTTGATTGATCGGATGGTGCTGCTTGAATCGGAGGGTATACAGGTAGATTTAGGTTTGCATTGAAGTTATTCTGTTCATTTTGCTGCGTACCTCCATTATCCTGGTTGAATAGCCCTAAAGGGTCTTGTAAAGTTGAATATACACCAATCGAAGGAGGTTGATATTTAAAAGTTTCTTGTACAGGTGGGTGCAACTCCTGCGGATCTACAGTAGGTGGGTGCAATTCTAAAGGACCTAAAGTAGGTGGTTGTAATTCTGTGCTCAGAAATTGCCTGTCAGAAATAGTTTTCTTATCATCTACACTTGATGTCATGAACGGTGTAAATATTAAAGCAGGCATTTTTAATTGAAAAAAATTTACGAAACTCCCTGTAGGTTTCTCGAACGGCGGATCAGTAGCTTGGATCAGAAATATGCACATCACAAGGGCTAGTATCGACGAATGTATCCTATTCATTCTGACTCAATTCCATTTATTTTCTATACTGTATACAGATTTCTACTCACTTTTCTATCAATACAACTGTTCGATAATAATGAAATGTCCGTCTGAGTGACTGACGCGCATTATCTTGAATATCCGAAACGTCGGTTTTTAGGGAAACAAAAAACGAACGCGATTTAGTGTCAGTACATCACCCGTGGTACTCGTAGCTCGTAGGCCGACTGGTAGATGCATCTAGACGGACATGCTTAGAGAGTTTTAACTTTCACGCGGCACTTTCACTTAAATTGCCCCAAGTCGGGTGGCGATGCGCCAAGCTAGCTGATAGATTTAGGTGGACAAATAAGTTTTGCTGTCAAAATATACATATGTATGGATGGTTGGTTACATACATTTTTAGAAAATCGGTTGCTTAAATGCGAAGATAGTTCATTTACTAAAATATATAGGGTGTATCAAAAAAATGTATAGTAAATTTAACCACAGTTTATGGGATCGAAAATAAGCCGATTTAAGGCCGCAGTTTCACTGTATTTCTGTTAAATGCATTTAGCTTAAAGGTTTGGAGAATGAAATCTCCTACCTTTTATTTATCCTGTTTGTTTACTGAATTAAAAAAAAAAAATAATCATAAAAAGCGATTTTAAAACTAGTGCTAAAAAGTAGGAGAGTTCATTTTACATATTAAGTATCCCGCCAAAATATTTATAAATTTTATTGGGTATTTTTCAAATTTAAGCGGAATTACGATTAAGAAATATTTGAGAAATTTATTTGTCAAAGTAGATATTTTCTATGAATTCTCCTGTAATGTCTAGTACATCCATTTTTAAGTAGATGTAACAGGGATATTACCCGATACAGCACAAACACATTTCGGAAATGTTTCAACAATGTTACATTGAAACATTTGCAATGTTGTATAAATATTACGAAACATTCCAGAAATATTTCTGAAATATGCCTGAAACGTAAAAATGTCCTCTAAATATAATATTTCGCAGTAATACAATCGCCAAAATTCTTGGACCCCCTAGTAAATATTAAACAGAAATATTTATCATGGCTGCCTTTTTGTACATTTAATCTTTATTTATTTCATCGTTGATACGCATCCAAAAACCTTTACAAAAACAATTTCCCACAATTTTAGGTACCAATTTTTAAAAAGTGGTTCATATCGATTTTTCGTGTTTAAGTAATTAAAATATTTCAAAAATATTTCAGAAACTTGTGCTTGAAATGTTATATGTTTGAAACGTTCGAAATATTTCTGAAACATTTCTGAAATAATGTGTGCTGTATGGGACCATATAAAAGCAATGTTGCTACTCTGTTTTAGATGATTGTTTAGAGGTACCTATTTTTGAATTGGTGATAAGGCAAGGCAGCTTTATGCTATCCTTTATTGCCTCATGCTTTTGATATAGAGGGTCATTCTATATGGGCGGAACGGGTCATTCTATATGGGCGGAACACTTGATTTATAGCTTAACTATGACTTGTATGATAATTTGACTTAGATAAAAGTTTTTGTCTATGAATGAAAATTCCGACAGAGGTAGCATAGGCCGCGTATCAAATACCAAATAATTATTTATTATTTATTAGGTATTTGTTAGTAAACTTTATTAAATTTGTTTATTTAAACAAAGATGATGCGTTAAATATACGTTTTTGATAGTTTTCAAGAAATGAATATATTTATTCCCTAATGACTTCGTTATCTATGTTTAATGATTTTAAAATGTGTTTCAAGTAAATAAACGACAGACGGGTTACAGATTGAATATTGTCAGCACAGGCACAAAGACAGTTGAAAACTAACTTTCGACGAAGTTGTAACATGTACTTAGTCCATATTATTAATTTCAAATTAAAATTCAAATATTGTACAAGTAGTTCCATCTAACGGGAAATAGCAAAGTCTAATTAATGAATTCAAGTTTTCTTGTCGTGTTTTTGGCATATCGATTTGTATTCATAGTATCGTTATGCGCAAGACACCAAAGGCGAGACGAACCGGTTGAAAGCGTTCTGTCTTTCCTCTCTGAATTTTGCCGTCAGAAAGACGCATGTCGTTATTATCTTTTTGCTAACTAGAATTAAGCTGGGAATAATTCCTGGCCCGTACGCCGTACCGTCTTAGGCCATACCGAAAGTCGTATCTTTCAGGAGCCTTACGAAAGCCCTACAGAAGCCGTATGAAGTTTTTTTAAGAAGATCCTAACTTGCTAGCTGTATAGAATGTCAAGACGATAAATGATTCCTTGCTAGAATCAACCAGTTCAAAGGATTCCGGATTTCCGCATGTGGCATTAGTATAGAGAAACACAAGGTTCTGGAATAGAAATCTCTGCTAAGAACGAAGTACAACCCATCAGAAAAGCAACGCAGCAGTACCCAACAACACCAAAACCAAATCAGATAAGCTTTTATTTTTTTTTATGACAGATTCACTGTAAATTCAATTGATTTATTTTGTTGTTCACAATTTTCTGATTATTTCTCATAAGTACTCATATCTAGTAAAGTATTAGACTATTTCATTATTTATTCAACAAATCATTTTATATAAGTATCCTTATTTGGCAAATTATCAATTATTAAACAACCTATTTCTCATAAGTACTCATATCTAATAAATTATTAGACTATTTCAATATTTAACAAATCATTTTATATAAGTGTCCTTATTTGGCAAATTATCAATTATTAAACAACCTATTATTTACTTAACGAGATCTTATTATTTAGAATTTATTTGCGGGAGTTAGGGGTTGTGATTTACTCTAGCTCCAAAGTCACTTTCATTGAATATTTGCTAAAACAAATCACTGGCGCCCGCAGGTAACTTCTAGGCACCCTTCCTAGTGACTCCATTTAAAGAAACGAGTACGACCCAGTCCTGAGATTCTCAACAGCCGAGTGCATAACATCATAACCTCTGTTTATGTTCTAAATAGGGGTTATAGCGCGAACAATGTATTTACGATAATTATTTTATATTTTATAAACACTTTTTTGCATTAGTGCTCTTTTCTCATATACGAGTAGGTGTTCATGTTTGTGCCTTACAATTTGGTAGTGGTAGTGCATATTCGAGGAGTTATATTTATTGTGTAGTATATTAGGTAGGTACTTTAAAAGTTTATTAAATAGTAAAATATTGGTGTCTTTATAAATTTAATAAAAACAATTTAATAGTAGAATTATATTGTTACAATAGTAATGGATTCAGAGGCGGGTCCAAGTGAAACCCAATTACATCGGCGAAAGTCCTTATAAAAAGATGAAAAGAACATTATATGGAAAGTATGATGGGCTGAAACAGACACTTCCTACAAATGAATCTGTAAACCGCAGTTCTTTTTTAACTGGAGTATCTGTTTCAACAATTGAACGTATTGTACGCGAAAAGACAAAAAAAGGCTCCTTAGAAGCCCCTAAAACGCATACCCGTGGTCGAAAATTGTTGAAATTGGACGATAACCAAAAACAAATCATTCGAAGAACTGTACATCTTTTTTTTTCGAAAACAAAGCCCCAACACTTAAAGTTGTTCTTACGAAATTAAGAGAAAACGAAGAAATTCCATTAATGAGCCATGAAACTTTACGAAAAATTTTATTTGTTTTGTCAAATGGTGTAGGAAATCAATTTTAATTGAGAGGTTAGATATAATGTCCTGGCGACGGCGTTATTTACGAAATATTAAAGAGTTTAGAGCCGCTAAAAAAAAGATATACTATCTCGATGAAACGTGGGTGAATGCTGGACACACGGTATCTAAGATATGGCAATATACTTCTGTAACTAGTCATCGCCAAGCTTTTATAGAGGGATTATCTATAGGTTTGAAAGCACCATCAGGTAAAGGACAGCGCCTAATTGTTACCCATATCAGAAGTGACAGTGGATTTTTGAAAATAGCGCTCTTGTGTTTATATCGAAAAAAACAGGAGACTACCACGAGGACATGAATGCGGAATGCTTTGAAAAATGGTTTACTGAAGTATTACAGCGTGTAGAACGAAATTCAGTTATTGTACTAGATAACGCTTCTTATCACAGTCGACGAGTTGAACGCATTCCGATAATGTCCAGTAGGAAAGCGGATATGCAAACCTGGCTGCGGGATAAAGCAATAACATTTACTGAGGAGATGCTTAAAGTGGAACTAATGGACCTAATAAAGGAACACCGCCATAAATATATTCAATATGTTGTCGACACAATGGCCCATGATCGTGGTATTATGGTATTAAAACTTCCCCCTTTTCACTGCGAATTCAATCCTATTAAACTAATTTAGGCGCAACTGAAAGGGTTTGTAGCTCGAGAAAATAAAACTTTTAAAATAGTCGACGTTCAAAGTTTATTAAAAACCGGTATAAAACGTATAAAACCTGAAGATTGACAGAATGCTATTTCCCATGTAATTAAGGAAGAAAATAATATGTGGCGCTTGCACGGTATGATCGAAATGGTAGTTGAACCTTTAGTCATAACTTTAAGTTCCGACGATAAAGACGATTCCAGTGATAGTTCTGCAGAATCAATGGATTACGAAACTTCATAGATTTAAAATTCAAGTAAGTGATACCAAGCTTAATTTACATATTTTTATAATAAACAAAATACAATTATAAACATAGATGAATTATTATAACAAAAATAGATAACCAACCTACTTTAATCTAGTAATATTCACAAATACCCATTTAATTTGCCAATATAGTATTTCTGCGACACTGGAAGAGCAGTGCATTTTGATATGATAACGATATCTTTTGCGGTTTTAAGGCGCACCTTCTTCAATATTTTGTTCTAGTATAATACCCCATTTAATTTTTTAATAGTGTTGCTACGCCACTGGCATAATATTTACATAT